CCATGAGGCAATCCATGTCCTAGGGCTGGGCTCCCTGGAGAAAGAGATTTACTGAAATATAAATTGAATATTAAATTATCTGTTCTTAGAGCATTTCTGATTGCTAACTTGCAAGTCAGCATATTCAGCATATTACAGTGGGCCTGTGTGTTTGGGACAGATACATTCTTGCTTTTTAAGGTAGCTATTTTTGTGTTACCTTGTTAAAAGTACAAATTATTACTGCTTCCTTGCTCTCAGTGTCATTTCCATTAGCCTGAACCCCAGAAATGAAAATCTCTGATGAGCATGACTCTCTTAACTCTCAGTAATCTCCTTTCTTATTATTTTTCCCCCAACAGTTTGCCAGCAGCTCAAATCATAGAAGATGACTTTTTCTTTTTTTCTACAAATCCTTGGAATTAAAGAATGGCTTTTTGCAACTCCAGTGTGTGAAAGCATTTTTATATTGTTACAGAGCTTGCATTCCTAATGTACATTGTATAGTTGGGGTAGGGTAGTTTCTATTTTGATTTGTGTACTGTAATTTCACTTTTTGAATTCTTGTTACGAGAATCACTTGGTTGTGTTATCAAAACACAAATCTTATGGATCTCAATTTCTGGGTGTACTTTTTTGTGGAGTCACTTTTTCCTCTTTCCTGTACTTTTCTAGATGTTTCATGTTTGATAGCTCAGCATTTTGTGACTCCCACCAAATGGGAATCTTGCCTTGTCCTACGTGAGTTTGTGGAGTGAAGCACAACATTGAAACGTAATTAATTGCATTAATTGTAGCTCTGAGCATCAGGCACTCACTGGTTGAGGATTGTGCTGTCTTTCATACGTGTAAGAAAGGTGATTTTTGGAAACAAGAGACACTGAACATCAAAATCATCTCTCCTACTCCTGGTGTTACCTGAGTTTCCTGGAGCCGAAACCAGAAATGCGGATTTCCCAGGAGAGACACCTGAGCCACCACTGCCTCCCCAAGCTGTGACATCTGGACAGAAAAGGAGCTGTTAGCTGTGAACACTCTCACTGGGGACTGAGGGGTTTCACCACTCTGCCTTGGCACTGCCCTCTGGCACTTCCTTTGTCAGTAACTGGGATTGAGGTGGGCTGGGATTGATGCTGGGCAGAGCAGGGATGGGATTGTGGGAATGTCTGTGGGGGGGTTTCAGTGGGAATCAGTTTGCCAACAAAGCAGTGATACATGAGGAATAAAAAGAGAATCCAGGTGGATTTTTAAAGCCTTGCTTCTCTTGGAATAACAGCTTCAAAACTATTTGATTTGGAAAAGAGTTTGCTTTTCTAATCATACCCGCATCTTTGGGCCTGGAGTAGGTATTTATTACATTTTGGCCGTGGGAATTGTGTTTGGGAGAGTCTTTACTGTGTCAATTGTGAGGAAAAATGACCAATGTCAGCTATTCCTGACAATCATTGCAATGCTCCTCCAGCTTCAAATGCAAATTTCAGCAAGCACTAGTGGCAGGCAGCAGCCCTAAACTGCTCCTTAAATGCCACCAAATTAGCACCTGGGTGCTGTGAAGGCAATATGACAGGTCATTTTTCCAAACTCACTGTAATAAAAGCTCATAATAACAGGGGAATTTTGTGAACATGAGAAATGTATCGATATATACTTGTAATACCAGCCTTAGGTCCTTTGTAATGTCATTTGGAAAAAATCTAATAAACTGCTAGATGGTAACAAGTAGTCAGGTCACGTGTGTTAAAGCACAGTCTAGCATAAGTCTGTAATCATGTGGGAGAATATATTTAGTTGCAAGTTATAAAAAGACTTTAGCACAGCTGCTGCTCACAGAATACACTCTAAAAATCCAGGAGTGCTCTGTATAATAAAAAGATGATGATTTGTGCCCTGTCAGACCTGGGCTTTAGCAGCTAATTAGAACACAGAAAGGGACATTAAAGTGGATAATCATTTTGTATGATGTTTATACATGTACATTCTCTTATTATCTATGATGTATAATGTTATAAATCCTCATCTGGCTGTGCTCCTCCCAGGGCACAAATGGTCATTGCTGAATTTGCCTGCACCTTCCCCTGAGCAGCAGCAGTAGCCCTGCTTTCCTCATGTTTATTCTGGCAGAATAACTTCCAGGAAAGTTACTTCAGCTTTAAGAGGCAGCTGTGTTTTTCCACTCACTGGAAAGATTGCAGTAGTTGTTCAATAGGGATATTTTTCTCTTAAATTTTGACATGTCACTGATTTTAACTGCTCTTCCCTGCACCTACTCTAGATTTCCATCCCCATCCTCTTCCAGCCTTGCTTCTCTTCCCCTCTGCTCCTTCAGAGCCCCACTTGAGCTGTCCCAGAGCTGTGGGTTCCCAACTCTCTCCAGGTACAAAGTGGAGATGCTCTTTCACAACAGGTCTGCATTAGGAACAGCAAATAGAATCGGTGTTTTTCTGTGACAGGAATTAGGAGTGACATCCACAGACTGTGCAGGCAACCTTTAACAGCAGTGCTGGTTTTGAATGCTGGAATTAAGACCTGAGAAGTGAGAAGTCAAATATCACAGGAGCTGTGTGGCCAGTGTATCTTGCTCTGGGCAACACAAATATGACACCGCTGTTTCATCTCTTCTGGTGTCTTAATTCCTGTGTTTATAGTAGGAATGTTACTCTGGACAGAGGAACACTGTTCTAATAAATGCATGTTTTGAAACACTTCAGCCTACTGATAACTGATCCAGAATTATGATAGCCTTAAGAGGATTTTTCATTTAATCTCTGCCCTAAAGACAATGTGCAGTAAATAAGATTGCGGTCAATAACATCTGGTGCAGGCACTAAATGAGGCTGCTGGGAGCCAGTGACCCACTGACCTGTGCCACAGCCAGGTTGGGAGCCTCCCTTTGCACAGGGTGAGCCCAGGTCCCTCAGCTCCTGGCAAGTGTCACTGCCTGCTGGGGCACACAGGAGTTGTTGGCCTCCATCCTGCCCCTCTGGCACTCTGGTTTTGGCAGGCAGCCTTTGTGCCAGCTGATGTTTCCTGTCCTTGTCCAGATTTACTCAGCACCCCCAGGAAAGTGCCCTTGGTTCCCTCGGGTGGCTGAGCCATAGGGAGTTGGTTTGCCAGAGATCCCTGTGGAAATCAGATGTCACCTGCCTGTCCTCCAAACCCTGGGAGAGTGCTGAAGTCACTCACTGGCTCTTCCTCCAGCCTTCAAAACTCGTGGAATTCAGTCCTTTACACTGTAAATACATTTGGCCCTGCCTTCCAGGGGAAATAATGTTGATTCTGTGGCCTGGCTGGGGGACAGCTGTAACCACAGCCAGAGACGCTGCCCAGCATTTCCCCAACGCTACACCCGAGCCTGCGGTTTTCCTGGAGGTGACCACATGGAATTAGTAAATAAACTCTTCTCTTCTCCCAACTTTCTAGCAGATAGTGCCTTCTAGTGGCACAGGCACTGCGAGGAGCAGCTCTGCTCGGATTAATTACTGTCATTTCAGCTGGGGCTCAGATGTTGGGGCTATAACCAGCCACATGCTGCTGAAATGTGGCTATTGCACAAGGCACTGAGGATTGTTTACAGTTAAGAAAACAAAGAGGATGCACAAATCACTTCCTGGGCTTTAAGCCTCGCTGTTTTGAAAAGAGTTAATGCTTGCTGAGATATTTTTTTCTCACTCTGATGTAGAGTTAATGAAATTAGGTCATCAGGAAAATAAAGAATCAGAATAGATACTTTACCTCTTATAAACATTCTGAAATCAGAAAGGTTAATCAGGAATTGTCTCTCTGAAAAATCTGCATGTAATAATAGAATATGTTCTTTTATGTTGTTTTGCTACAGACCTGACATTTTTATTTATGAAGTTCTCATAGTTAGATACAGATATAAAACTTCCTTGAGTTTACAGAGCTGTGCAATGTGCAATCCTCGCTGGAGAGATCCAATCCTGTTGGAATTAGCAGCTGGAGAAGTGATGGAGTTCATTTCTCCAGAACTGCAGGTGTGTTTGTGGCAGGTGTGGCTGACTCGTGACCCTTCTGTGTCCAAAGGCAGGGTCTCACCCTCTACCTCTGGATTCCCCTGAGAGCTTGGACAGTCTGCTATGTTCGGGTGCAGATTTGGGCCAAATGCCCTCTGGTGGCACAGGAATGTCCAAAATCCCAGCTGGATTGTGGACAGCACCTGTCTGGTGTCCTGCCAGCTCCCAGCTGCCATCTCCAGCTGCTCGGGCTCCACCTGCAGAGCTCCTCCAGTTTCACTTTTCCCTCCTCTGACCAAATCCTTCATCTCTGAGAGCATGAATTTCCCAGTAAATGAAACTTTCTGATTCCACTTGTTTCTCCTACAGAAGTGTTTCCTTTTGAGCACCAGCTCCCCGTCTCTTTAAAGCACAGGAAAAGTGTCTCCTTAAAGCTTTTTGCATTTTAACCTCCACAGTGGGGGAAATCACTGAGCTCGGCTGCTCCCTATCCACTGGAACAGGAACATCAGCTCCTTAAAAGCAACACAAGAAGGTTTCCAGGAAGATTTTATTTGTTTGATTATTTTTACATGTACTTCAAGGAGTCAGGAGGCCAAGGATATCCAGGACAGCAATACTTTTGGAAATACTTTACTTTTGGAAAATTAAATCAACTGAGAACACAGAAGAAAAAGAGACCAAGTTTAGGACACGACGCTTGCTGGCTTTTAGGCAATTAAAACCCCAGGAGTGAAGCCTGTGTGTGATGTGCCATCAAAAGGCTTTTCAATGCTCAGCACCAGGCATTTTAGAAAAAATAATGTGAATTTCTTTACTCTACAGGGCAGTTCATTTAATGCAAGTGAGTGGTCACCAGAGATAAAACAACCTGAGTGCTTGCTGGTCTAAATTCCTGCTGAGAAACACAAGTACAGACCCTCAGTTGTGTTGTTATCTTAAAAAAAATATATCTACTTCCAAGAGCAGGAGAGTGATTGTTAATGTTAATGGGATGTAAGGGGGAAAAACCAACTCAAGAAAAGGACACCAGCCCTTCTGCTACTGAACTCGAGAAATATTATAAATCAGACCAAATGGTCTTAAAAAATGGCTGCAAATACCAAAATTAATGACGAATTGAAGCTTTGATAATCTGGTTTTAAATACAGTTCTTAACTGTATTTTCATGCAAGATCTTCACATTAACATTGTGCTGGTTTGTATTTTTTTTTTTTTTACCAGGCCAGAACCACTTTTAAATAAAAGTTAAGGCAGAAGTTTAAGACTTTGCTCCTGAACAACTGTGAAGTTTGAATTGCTTCACAGAGATCCCAGACATGATTGAGGCTTCCTCCCCCGCATTCCTACTGAAGACACTTTGGGATTCAAGGGGATTGATGAGTTTGATTATTGATGCTGCTCATTAGCAAGAAATGTTGGAAATTGAAGTCCTTGCACAATAAAACTCCTGTTAAAATCATTTTGAGCACTTCTAAATCAACAGGCATCAGCAAAATATGTTTAGCAGAATGACACCATCTGCCATTTTTAATTTTTTTAATCATATTTCCAGTATTTTAGCCAAGAACTTGGTTACAAATGCTGACAATTGCCACTATAAATTATGATTTTCTGCTCTCTGACCAGGGAGGATCACAAACAAAGAAAGCACAGGTTGAGGTCTCAGTTTCCACTCATTATTGAGCTTGTGGGATGAGTTCCCAGATCAGCCCTCTCTTGGGAGGGGATGTGGGCACTGCTGGCAAGGACATGCCCTGAGGTTCTGCATTTGGGGCATCTGGAGCTGGAGAAAGGGCTCCTGGAGGGAGGATGAGGCTGAAGGAGTGGAGAAGACAAACCCAAAACCTTTTCCTGTTTATCCATCATCCCTTTATGTCCCAGAGCTCTTTCCTCTGAGGCTCAGAGCAGCACAGGGGTCACGGTGTCTCAGGTTGGTTTGGGCTGAAGGGACCTTGAAGCTCATCCAAATTCCAGCCCTGCCATGGCCAGGGACACCTTCTGCTGTCCCAGGGTGCTCCACATCCCGTCCAACCTGGCCTTGAAGATTCCTGTTCTTCCAAACATGAAATTCATGGAGCCCTGTGTTCTTCCAGAATAACAAAACAACAATCTGAATGGAAATTTCTACTGTCTTTACACATTTGTAGCCTCGTCAATCCAGAGTGTTTTAGAAAATCCTGCTCCACCCCCTTGAAAGCACTGAACAAAGTCACTGCTTCACACATCACACAAAATTAAAAACAAATTTATTGAACCCAAGGCATATTTAAAAGCCAGGAGGCTTTTCATGCCGTAAGTTATTTTAAAACATCTTTGTAAATACTCCACAGGCTGAAGTTAAACAATTAAAATGCTTCATCACATTTTAAAAGCAGCACCAAAAATGTAAGTCATTTTGTCACAGAGGCTGCTCCAGCGTGGTTTGATTATTTAATGTTATGCTCCAAAACCAATTTATACCCTACACCCTTGATCTCTGTTTCAATTTCAGGATGTTAATGCATGCGCCATTGCTGTATTAGCTGATAGGGCAGAACAAATACTTCAGAAAAAAGTCATGATTAGAATTTGAAATCTCTCTCAGCCGTGTTTAATCCCCAAACATTCTCACCTTGCTGGCTTTTCCTGCTGCTTTTGCCCACTGGAACCCCATGTTTTATACCTAGAAAAGAAATGATTATTTAACAACAGGAGCGGATGAATGCAGAGCTCTGCAGGGAGGATGGAGGTGCAGCCCCTCCTGCCACAAATGTTCAAATTGTCAGGCATCAATCAAATCTCCTCAGGCTGAGCTGTCACCAGAGCCTGTGTGCAGGCAGAGAGAGCACGCTCCATGCCACAGAAATCCTGGGATCCAGACACCTGAGGCTGCCAGGGATTTCTGCTCACTCTCCTCTTTCCCTGCAAAGCCTTTGCTTGGCTGTGGCCAGCCCTGGGATGAGCAGGAATTAGGGATGGGGTCACTGGGGCAGGGTTTGCAGCCCCTGCCACAGCCCTGGGCTCTCTTCTTTCCCTGGCTGATTCAGAAATCAGAAATTATTATTCCCAGCACTGGCAAAGGAAGGAGGGAAATTCATGGAGAATTTGTAGGGATTTAGCTGGCAGGCGCTGCCAGCACAGGGGCTGCCATCCCTGTGTCATTAATGCTTTATTAATTACCTGGAAAGCCCATAAAGTGATTCAGCACCTTCTCCTGTCCCAGACACTCTGTGTATGAACACAGCCTAACACTGAAATCTGCATTCCAAGCATCCCAGAGCAGCCCCTTGGCTAGCAGAGGGGCTTGCAGCAGGCACAGGGGGGAACCTGTCCCTCCCAAATTCCCTCACAGGGATATTGTGAGGGATATTCTGTGAGGCCCAGGCAGATGGGAGACAGAGAATCCCTGGCCCAAACCCCAGCTGGATTAGACACAAGTGTTTCCCCCTTCACACAAACCCGTGGGTGAGTTCAGGGCCTGTCTCAGGCCTTCGCGCTGGAACTGGGATTTACGAGGCCTGTGATGTGTGAAGCTCCACAGTGGCACAACAACCTTTTCTATGTCTGCTGCCTCAAAAACCCTGCTGAACGAGCCTGATTCCTATGAGAAGCTGCAGATAATTTGGAGGCAGCTTTGCCAGGAACTAAGTGAGCAGTTATTTTCACTGCGAACTCCAAATTCGCTCTGAAAAACTGCCTGGTGTTTATATAATGAATCTTCACTCTTAGGGCAGAAAGCTTTCATTTTTGGTATCACTTAGTCTTTTTCTTACTGTTTTACAGCTTGTCTTGGAAAAAGATGGAAATATCTCCCTGCAGCAACCTCTCCAAACCCGCAGAAACAAGTGGCTCGTGTTGAGAGCAACATCCCTGTGTTTTCCCAGGAAGCTTTTCTGGGCAAAGGGACTGTGACATTTTGCAGAAGTTCTGCAGTTTCTGGTGCCCAGGATGGGAAGGGATGGCAAAACTCGAGAGCTGTCCTTCAAGTGGCCTTGCCTGAGCAAAGTGAACAGCTTGAGTGCCTATCATTAGCAGGCAGAACACCTCTGCAGGAGGCACACGGCTTGAAACCCTGAGAATTCTGCATGATTACAGCTAAGCAACTCCTCAAAAATCAAGCAGAAAGTTTTCCTGAGGGAGTTTATCTAGGGGAAAAAAAAAATAAAAATGTTTACACTAAGGTTAGCATGCATTAACTGAGCCTGAGTAGGAAAAAATTGTTGTTTGGAGATAAACAGAGAGTTTCAGCTCTCGGGGGGAGCAAGGGTTGCAAGGACAGGGATGATAAATGCTGCACCCCAGGGTACTGCAAACAGGACCTGCAGCTCCAAGGTGGTGGTGAGCAAGCACTCAAAGCACAGCAGAAATGTATAATTACTGGAAATTTCCTTTAAAGATGGGAAAGGCTGTGGCCACACAGCTCCAGCCGACTCAAAAACGGATTGGTTTTGTTATGTGGGGAATTGGAACTGGTGGCCACAAACTCACCATAGCAGGCGTTTTCTAGCTTTGTTTGCTCTAATTCTATCTTTAGAATAATAGGAAAAAAAAATGAGAAAGCACCTGGAGAAGCCAGCTTCCCCTCAGTGTGCTCTGAAGAATATGCCATGAGGTCTGACAGGTTTAATTTAACTCTTACAGATGCTCAGCCATGGAAATCCCAGTGGGTTTGTGATCCTGGAGCAATCCAGCTTGACCATCCTCAAGGATGATGCTTATCCTTTAATTCTTTGGGCTTTGGACGGTGCATGCCAAGGTCAAAAACCAGAGAGAGTGAGAAGAGGCCAAGCAGGTCCACTTTTTTTGTGATAAAAACGGCTCTTGTGCTTTGTAGGAGATCCTACAGGTTAAGCTTTATCACAAACTAAGTACACACAGTGTAATTCCCCAGAATTGTTGTACAAATGTCACTAGAAATTTTATTTAATCAAGGAATTTGGATCCATGACTAAAAATCCTTTAATCTTCACCCAAATATCTCTTGCTATTTAAACATCAGTCCATCTTACTCATTACCATGTTAAATCCTCCTGCTATGGTGGTGTGATCTGATTTGATTCCCACTGTGCTCCACTGCCTAGAACTGAATTGTCAACTGAGTGGCAAAAGCCTTGCTAACATAGGAGATATTTCGATAGGTTCAGGAGCAGAAATATGTTTGTTTTCTTTTTCCTGAGCAGCCTGGTGCTACATTTCTATTTCAGGAGCTTACTAGACCTGAAGCTTTGCTTCAGAATGAAATTAGTCCAGATCTTTGGGAGTAAATTTAAAGCCCATAAATCTCCTCCACAGCCATTGCTTTGATTTTTCCACTTTTCAGGTGTAGCTGCTGGAACTGATTCTTCTCTGAAGGGATCACATGGGCCAGATCCAACCTAACCACGAATTTTGGAACAAAACAGAGCCAAACTTCCTCTCCTCTACAGCCTTTAGCAAGATACTTCCACAACCTACAAATGTGCAGTTGTTCCACTGGAATCAGAGCCTCCAATCCGTAGATTTTTTCCTGTTCCAAAGAGCAGGCACAGATTTACTGCCTGAAGGGAAGAAGTGGAGCAGTACTAAAACATTTGGAGCCATCAAAGACAGAGCCCATGGGACAGAAACCTCCCAGGTTACACGAACAGAGCAAATCTCACCCATTTCTCCTTTGGATGACAGGTGTGTACAGCCTTTAAATGCACCCAGGACAGCACTATTTCATTAATTAGCCATAGAAAGCCTCAGTGATTGTTTGAATTTAGAATAAATCTGCATTTGCTGTGGGATTTTGGCCCACCAAGTAGATTCTGTGCTCCCTTCCTCTCCCAGAACAGCTGTGATCTGTGTGTTTGTAAGTGGGAAGCTTTACAGCCACAATATCTGCAATAATCATTCACAAATCGCTCAGAGTTCAAGAGCTATATACCTGCAGAACAGCCCAAAACCTGATGGAAATTTATGTGATTTGGATAAAGATCAGGCATTTTCTATGAACCCTGTCAAACAGTCTTCAAAATGACAGAAAACCATCAAGGAGAGTGGTTGGAATAATGTGATTCCTAAATTGCTTGTGTGCCTATTGTGTTGTTGTCCATTATTTACTGTCAGTGTGTTCAGCACCAGACAGGGCCCGCAGGAGGGCTCAGAAAGTGCTGTCTTAAATAGTCAGCACGAGGATAAACCCATAAATGCACCAGATCCTCTCACGTTTCTCAGGCAGGTCCCACAGCCAGGCTGAGTTGGGGCTGTAGATGGCACTGTCACCTCTGCAGTGAAGGCAGCTCAGTGCTGCGGGAGGAATCGAACTGAGCAGAGATCCCTGCTCCTGGGGCTCAGATCCCTGCTCCTGGGGCTCAGATCCCTGTTCCTGGTGCTCAGATCCCTATTCCTGGTGCTCCTGGTGCTTGGATTCCTTCTCCTGGGGCTCAGATCCCTGCTCCTGGTGCTCAGATCCCTATTCCTGGTGCTCAGATCCCTGCTTTGGTGCTCAAATCCCTATTCCTGGTGCTCAGATCCCTGCTTTGGTGCTCAAATCCCTATTCCTGGTGCTCAGATCCCTGCTCCTGGTGCTCAGATCCCTATTGCTGGTGCTCAGATCCCTATTCCTGGTGCTCCTGGTGCTTGGATTCCTTCTCCTGGGGCTCAGATCCCTGCTCCTGGTGCTCAGATCCCTATTCCTGGTGCTCAGATCCCTGCTCCTGGTGCTCAGATCCCTATTCCTGGTGCTCAGATCCCTGCTCCTGGTGCTCAGATCCCTATTCCTGGTGCTCAGATCCATGTTCCTGGTGTTCAGATCCCTGTTCCTGGTGCTCCTGATGCTCAGATCCCTATTCCTGGTGCTCAGATCCCTGCTCCTGGTGCTCAGATCCCTATTCCTGGTGCTCAGATCCCTGCTTTGGTGCTCAAATCCCTATTCCTGGTACTCAGATCCATGTTCCTGGTGTTCAGATCCCTGCTCCTGGTGCTCCTGATGCTCAGATCCCTATTCCTGATGCTCAGATCCCTATTCCTGGTGCTCAGATCCCTGCTCCTGGTGCTCCTGGTGCTCGGGTCCCCTGGAGTCAGTGTCTCTGGTGGCCTCAGCAGACAGCAGGGGCCAGGGTGACTTTCAGGCTTGCCAGCCCAGGCTCATGCTGAGCCTCCCCAAATTCCTGAGCAGTGGGAACTGGGACGAGTTCCCCCTGCTCTCCCTAGTCCTTCCAGTGCCATCTCCCAGCCCAGCAGAGGACTGGCTGATCTCTGGGTGTGGTTTTACCTCTCCTGTTCTCCTTTGGCTCTGGGGACACCCAAGCCAAGCCCAAGGTAACTTCACCAGTTGGGAAATTCAGCAAATGAAGACACAGCCCTTCAGTTCCAGCCTCCTCCTGGGGTGCTTCCCCTCTCTCAGCTTGCTTTGCTGAGGCCAGTGACTCGGTCTGAATGATGCAAACACACACCTGGCACTGGAAACAGCCCTGTGGATGTGTCCCTGTGTTGCATTTTGGGCTCAGGCTGCAGCCAAATTCCCCCTGGTGTTAAAAC